TGCACTGGAGTGAGGTTTGAGCTGTATCTTTTCGCGCGATAGTGATTAAGGACTTTGAGAGCTTCATTCGCAAACATCCGGAAATTAACATCAACTTCATTATTGGGCTCTTGTTGTCTAAAGAACGTCGGGGGAAATGGTGCTATTCGTAGGGCCCCACTTGATGTTGTTCGCACCTATTTAGCGCTTCATTTCTAGCTTTTTTGCGGAGTCTATCTTGAAGTTCATGTAAACCACATACGACCCTACGCAAGGTTATCTTAGAAATGGGTTCAGATGGTGAGAAACTCAATATTATTGGCTCATAATGTGATCTAATTTGTCCTAGAAAACGTTTTTGCTGACGTTTTATTATGTTGCTAAGGTGTTCATCTTGATCATTTCACAATGAGAAGAATGATTAATCCAAGGTGATGGAACTCACTATGTTACCCATCGAAGGGTATTGTGGCTACTTATTTTGGATACGTAGACATCCCGTCTTCATGGAAAGTGCAGGTGCTATCATATTTTTTTTCCATTTGTTCTGAATCACGCTATAGTCGTCTATGGTGATGGTCTACATCGAGGGTGGTGAAGTTAGCGATGCTCATTCTGTGCTCCATAAATCGTTTCCAGCTGCGAATGCACACGTGAACCACAACTACGTGCACCCACCATGGGGTTTTCGTCATCGAGATCATTTTAATACTGTTGAAGTCCATACTACAGTTATTTTCTTCTATGTGTGGTCTTCTGTTCCTATTATGTGACCTATGCTTCTATGTTTCGCCATGGATATGTTTTCTCTTGGGCTTTGAAGACGGGAGGGTTTCAAAGATCTGAACTGCAAATTTTGATTAGGCGTTTGTACAGTTTATGGGAGATAGTGCTGCGTTCTCGCACCCCTTATGCAGTAGTGAGAAGTGGATTGAAAAGGTCTATTTTCGTGATGCAGCTACAATAGCGTTGGTCTAGAGTTCTTATGTAAAGCAGATCCACTCTTTCGTCAGCGAGCTCTGATATGAATGCATTCGTTTCTTCAATGTCGAACCGGTCTACAATGGAGCGTCTATCACCGATATTTCGTCAAGATTTCCTCTCAAAAAATAACGATAGTCCCGTAATCTAAGTGGTGCATCTCAATCGTAATGTGTGCTGCCCTTTCCAGGAAACTGTGGCCTCAAAAAGAGGGTAAAGATTGATATTTAAGAAGGCTGAACTGGTGTTATAGGTGCAGAGCAAGATGTGTTGGTTTAATTGGGTTTGATCAGCGTTGCCATTTGCCGTATGCATGGCGCCAACTGTATAGGCTTGGAGACATGAGTCTGAACACATTCCCTGCTAAAGAGATCCTGGTAGGGAAGAACACCGCTGTAGAATGCAATTCGGTATCTAGGAGCACCCCCTCGTTACCTTTCCCTTCCCACCTGTCCAGCCACGATAAACCGGCGATAAACCATGGAATGATGGCTATTTTACTAACTGTAGATGTCCTTTGATAAACAAAAGTGTATCGTAAATTCGCATTGAAGAATGTACAATTTTCTCGATTTTTATGTTGGGGATAAAAGACAAAGCTCTCGGCGTTGCTCAATCCCAGAGAGGTGTACCTCGCATGCGATTTAATCAAGCATCGTTGGAGGTGACTGAATGCATATCTGACCTTTACAATGACTCATGGTGGTCTACCGTTGTATTGATTCGGTGTTGCTATCCTACCAAACAAGTTTGGTACCAGTGTGCTGAGCTCTGGAGGGATGGAAGGCTTCGTGAGCCTAAGTTGTTTGTGAAACTTCGCCGTGTCGGGGCGTATGTTGCGTAGTGGTCCGAAGTGTCCTGCAGTACATATGAGATCGAACACGCGTCCTAGGCCCGCCAAGCTCTCCTCCTCTCCGGTATCGGGAAATTGGTACCAGACCTGTTTCAATGGCAAGCAGCATTGGTTCGATACATCGGTAGGCCATCGTGAAGCATTGTAATGGCCAAATATGCATTCAGTCACTTCAAACGATGCTTAACGAAGTCGAATGTATGGTGCATCTCTCAGGGATTGATCAATTGATCGTTCATCGAGCTTCGTTAAGCTTTGCTGTTTGCAGGAATTTGTATAATAACCATCGAAATTGCCTATAATTTGTTTCGTTTTAATACGTCCAATACCAAACCTTTTTTTCCATAACTGGATTAGTTAGGGAGTTTAAAAAATTGACGGAACTATGTGAGAAACTTTTCACTATCGCTTCAGTGGGTAAATACTACTTTTCTCATGTGCTATTTTAATATTATGATTAGCTTAGAATTCGAAAATGCAGTAGACTGTAAGCGAAGTCTCGTTTTTTTCCACTCAGCGCTGATTTTCTATTAGCAGTGAACAGTTACTCAGACAGTTATCAAGAGTTTTATCTTTTTTTATCGATTTACTTTTTGTTTTTCATTTTTCGTCTTTATTTTTTTCACTCTTTGTTTTTTATTTTTTGACAAGCAGACAAGGTTATTAACACAGCAGCTATTCCACAATGGCTAACGTTCCGATATATTTCCCTTTCTTCAGAGCCTGAACACGATCGCATTGATGCGCAATGTATTGACCCAGCTACTTTCATAACAGTAACAAAAATAACCTGTCCGCCTGTTGATATCCAACGAAATAAGTACATCTGTAACACGCTAGTCGAAAACGGACGCTCTAGAGAAATCGGTGGCAACATTTAAACTTCCATCCAAGCTACTACGTCGTCAGTTAATACGAAGCAGGATATGTGAGCGTCTATGTATAGTACAAATCTCGATTATTTGCCCTAACGTAAAAGACGGTGTTTGCATGAGTTCGGGTACAGCGTACCTGATCTCTTGTAAAACGCATGGGGACGTACACATAGGTTAAATGAGCAAACCACGGATAGGGAAGTGAAAACTTGAGGAAATTACTACACTAGGCGCGCATAAGACGGAAAAGGCATCCAGGAGAAGATTTCGCAATAGCACTTCCGGTCCTTGCACTAAAATCTTAAACATCAACGTTCAAGAGGCATTTTGAATAAATTCCAAAAAAGTCAAGGATGAACCATAGTGAGAAATGGCTTGTATCATGGCTGACGTCTGCCCATACCTCAGGATAACTTTTTAAACTAAAGCATGCACATTGCTCATCTGTGGTAACGCTCTACGGCCGATCTCCCTAAGTAAGCGGAAGACGTACAAATAACGGTGAGTGTAGCTTATTGGCTTGCATATCAATGTAACCTTTTCCAGCCTGTGAAGAAAGCGAAATCTCTCAGAACGTGAGCCGCTTTGGATTAAATATTGTTTAAGAACCTCGAATTTGTTTACCAAAGGGAAGGAAAGGACATAAAATTTTAACTTTCTTGTGATTTGTTTTTTGGCAGTCGCATAAATCAGCGATGCATTTGGCTAACTTATTGTTTCCTGTAAGACGAAATCCAGCTTGTTCAATCACTTGGTTACATGAAATGCGGTCCTTCACGAGAAAAAGTGAGGAAGGAAAGTTCTGTGGACTAGAGAAATTGGAATTTCATCTCGGAATACTAAAGGTTGTCGTTCTTCATGGTGAATTGTTATCTATTCTAGTTGTTTCTGTTTCAATTACTAAAGTGAACTGTGAGGTAGCACGTGTTTACTTGGAGAACATGCGCAATCTCCTTGGAGTAGGGCTATTGATAACCTTATTACATCATTGTTGTCTTGTATTTGACAGGAAATTTGCTAACGTCTTGGCTCGTCATCCTTGTTTGTGGTAACGTTATTGAATCGGATGCAAAATTAGAAGGTATGATAAGAAATAAACCGAAACTAATAAAATGGTGGATAGGGTGCGTGTAAAGCAGTGGTTAGCAGTGCCATGCATCACACATGTGGTAGTTGGTTTGATCCCGTCCTCCGTCTTCACCAAGCCTTCCATATTACCGGGGTCGCCAATTTCCTACTCTAGGAGAAGTCATTCTATAGACCAGATATGTATTCATTCACTTCTAGCGATGTTTGATGAAGTCGAATGCATAGCGCATTCCCGCAGGGATTGATCAACGCTGAAAAATTTATCCTGTATTCTTTAGTAGAGCAGTAAAAATCATCTTTTCTCTTTTCCCCATAGTTTACTGTTTATTCGCATTTTCGTTTAATTTTTAGGGAATACTTGCTAGAAATTAACGTGAAATGAACTAAATGATTCAATATCTTTCAAGATAATGGTCTCTTTGTATAGTTAAAGAAAGACTGGATAGACATTTCTTTCAGATGGACAGTTTGCGCAGATTTGGGTCATCGGTGTACGAATTCTGGAGGAGCACGATCGAATGGCGAAGTCCAGCTTCTGCACCTTACCTTATGATCGTCAACATGGCATTTTGGTATGTAAAAGTTAAATGGGCTACCGTAATCAGCTCTCCTATTCTTCAGTTTGATAGTTTAAAGTAGAGAGTTCTGGGCCCGTGTGCAATTTTTTTAATCCTGAAATCACTTGGAATTTGCACACGAAATTCGACTCAGCGATGTTTAGTAACTATCATGCTAATGAGTGGGAATTTGCAAGTTAGATTTGTCCTTCTCTATTTATAACTGTCTATTCCAAGGAGTAGTAAAATTAGTTTTTAATACGCACGGCCTCACCTGAGTTAATTGGACATACATTTGGTGGAAGGTAGAACAGATCGAGTGGTAAAAAGTATTAATTTCAGTATATACGTGGTGGAAGTAGTTTGGCTCGTTATACAAATGGAACGCAACTCACAGCAGATTTTATAAATTAAAGCAAAAGTTTAGGTGTCTTCTTACAAACAAAGAAACAAGTTTTCCTATTCTAACGCCATGAAATCCTCATTATCTTAGGTACAGAGAACGTCTTTTTCTCTCTACTTTCGTCGAGGCTCGTGTTTTCGGCAACAAAATGATTAAACTAACGGCATTCCATCTAACGTTTCACGAGAATTCTTTTTTTTTCTGCGGTTTCCAGGCTTGAAAAATCTCACGCAGCTCTAGCGTAATGCTTCTCCTGTATGTCTGAATATGTTCTCAACTCCTCAAATACCCAGTTTAATAGAGAAATACGAAAGTTATTCGTCATCCCATGGAGCCGTGAACGCAAATTCGACGTGGTGCTGTGTCCTAAATCGCTATGCTATGACGGAAAAGTATTCGTTGACAAGAGAAAGACAGGAGTCTGATCGTCAATCTACGTTTAGGTATTGAAACAACCCTACTGTAAGTGCTTTAGGTCAACTGCTTTGTACTGCTCGGAGTTGGTTCAAGTTCGTCTACTGCTCACATTGGCAGCAGTTGTAGTTGGATGGGACGTGCTACTGTCTCCCACCCATGAGCGAAATATTGCCACTCATGTAGTGTTGTGGCCTTTGCAGTCCATATGGCGGGTGAGTATAGAGTTACCTATTGTTTTTGTCCGTTTATAGTTGATATTTTTAAATACTGCGTGCAAGTTTTCTAGCAACATGGTACGCATCCTATTGATTGCTAGGGAAAAATTTTGGAACAAAAATCTTTGCGCAAAACTGTTTTGGTTTGGTGATTTGGTGTTCAGACTAATTTATTCTGTGTAGTCTGAAAGCCTAAGTGCTTGCCAATCCCCATATCTGCGATTCGTCATCATTTACGTTATCTGATGTGACTTGTTTCTCTTCGATGACAGTGAGTGTTAACTAAGTTAATGGCTAATGTATAAAATATGATGATAAAATCATGGTGGGTGATTTGGACATTGAAACGTATATATATATATGTATATATATATATATATATCATAGGTGCATCCGTATAATTCATTTATAAGGAATATTTTAACTTCAAAGATGCTGAGATATGAACAAAACTCGATATGTCTCAGTTAGGCGTCGAACCCACGGTGACTTACTGTGAGCTTACGCGCTACCTGCTTCACCAATGTAGACCTCTGCTTTTCCTTTCTCTCAACCAATTTTTTACTCTATCGGTGCCCACAGTAGCCACCCGTCAACTGAAATGATCTGGGGAGCACAAGTCGGCATTGAACCGCTAAAGCTGCAGTTGAAATTACATTGTTGTGAGCAGTTATGAAAAACGATAGGCAATAGCTAAAAGTGAAAACGAATTTTAACTCCTCTCCGTGATCTCGTTCGTTGGATTTTAAGACTTTGTCGGTTTGCGGTTGCTTCTACAGTTCACATCAGCTGCGACTTCAACAGTTAGAACCAGCTTGTATTGCCGCCTATGGCACAGGTAACTTCGAATTAATTTCACAAACATTGCTCCGTGATGTACAGCTTATGGAGTTGTTATTATGTTATAGTGGGCTGTCTGCTACTCAATCCCGTCTGGAACTATTATGAGATGAACCAAAAGATTGTGAATGGAGCAAAAATATGTGGACGAAGAACGGCTGATATAACTAAGGTGAGAATATGCTAAGTATGGCGTAAGAGATGAGTAATTGTTTCAATTATAGTTGGTCATCATTCATCCGCTGCAGCGGGTTTACCATGCTGTAGAGTACATACTATTACTTCGGTTCATTCCGCGTGAGTTACAGTAGAAGTGTCTAGCAAATTTGTCTATTTACTTATTTATCTACATTTGTTTGTTTTAAACTGATGATGGAGGGATTAAATATGATTTTGAATATTGCAATATATATCGAATATCAGCGGTTAGATTTGGGTTAAAGGGAGATCAAATATGGTCATGCAAATAGTTCCAAGTCGATGGATTCACGTTATGGACAGAGGACTGTGGAGCGACGGATCAGCATCATCCTCTTTCATGTAGTTTTATCTATGCATATATGCATAACTGTGTTTACGTGTGTGCGAATTATACCGTACACTTCGATTTGGAGGAAAATTGCTAGGTGGTTAAGAAGTAGGTGCAAGGCGGCGTGCAGTCTCTAAGAAGCTGTATCTAAAATGTTACACCCCAAGAGAGTCAAACAAACCAATTGTGAATACGACTTAAATGAAGACAAGCCTCGACGAGCTATGTTTGAGCACTTTTTCGACGGAAATATTAAAATAAATAAGCAGATGGTTGGTTTTCTTGCTTGAAACATATTGTATGCTCTGGGAAGCTTAAGCACGGCAGGAGTGAAAAACTACTGGTGCCATTTGAGTCATTTTTGTTAACGAGATTATGTGTAGGTGGTGTGATACTTGGGAGTTTGTTCCCCATTTCATGCAGACGTGTATTCAAATTGTTGAACTTTGCCGAACTGCTTTTTCACACATTTTTGTTAATTTGCCAGTTATTATGGTGTAAAACACTAAATGAATTGGTCTTACAGCGTTATGGTGCGGTCTGATATCGTTTTTGGCTAGAATTCAGTCGTCAATAAAGGATGGTATCAGATATGTCGTGTCATCTATCAAGAACTCTATCTGCATGACTATCAGCTATTTCGAGAGTCTTATCATTTGCATAAACATATGGTAAGTGCTGTAATATAAAAACATTTTGTAATGGGCTTGGTGTAATTCAGTGAGAATACAGTCCCATCAGCAACAAATAACGTAGTCTTTTTAGTAGTTAATCCGCCTACTGCTGTGGTGTCGAAACCGGCTGTTTTTTTTTTCATAGAGCCACCTGAGATCTCTGAACTGCTGCTTTCCAAAAGCATCGAAATTTTTATCAGACTGGTTTACTAAAATTAGTCTATCGTTCTATTTTAAGGATATCAGAGACAATAATTGAACCAACAAAGAGGAAATTCTACGCCTTTGGTCGCTGGCTACGGTATTGGTTTTGCGTAGAGTGGTGGCCTGATTTGAGGTTGTGGATTAAAAACAGAGTAGGTGGTTCTTGATATTGTTGTTAACTGATCAAAAAAATTTTCCATGTCGATTAAAAGGTCATTTTAGAAGTTAAAGGGTAGAGTTAGGTTAGAAAAACTGTTACTCCTTGTTTAGATCGGTCAACCACTTCGTCGTGCTTTCAATTACTTCTGCTTTGGTCTAGTTTATGTCCTTTGCGGTCATTGGATATTGACGGTATGGGTGTGGTTAGTAGCACGGCTTCGGTGTCTCAAGGACTTTATCATGGCACAGGCACAACGATTGCGCGACTTTACTCACCGTACTGTCGTAGTACCTACGAAGAAGTAAGGGAATTTGTAAATGTTACTTTTGTTGCTTTTTGGGGTCGAAAAATGCTAGAGATATTGATTTGGAAGCGAGACGTTTTATCCCACTTATTTATTTCAGGTTTTCGAGTATTTTCAGTGTTCACTTTTTATCCCGATTTTAATACACATCGTAGTTTCACAGGTCTGGTAATTCTCGGTAGAGTCAGCTCTTGTTTTTTTCATATATACATGTATATATATCTTACTATTTAAAACTAAATAAATTTCCTCTGTGAGGAAATAATGGTTTTAACAAAGAACCACCTTGCACATGTACATTCATCATTAGGTGCCTTTCTAAAATTTTTTTCTGTGCTCAGCCATGTTTAATGTTTTGTCTAGATTTTCGTACAGATCATATTTCTCCATATTGTAATTTTTATAGAATCAGCACTCTTGAATGTGTGCGTCTTCTTGCGTTTTCCCATAGCAAATTATGCCTTTCTCAGTGTTCCTTGGTCAGACTTGCTTTGGCGTTCTTCATAGTTCTCCACCAAGCACAATCGTTCGCCTGTGTAAGTTAGTGGTTTATTACGTTGCGGAGAACATCCAGGACTGCAACGATTCCTGGGATTAGTATGCAGAGTGATTGATGGTGGTGTAACAGGTCTTGATTCGGGTTTTGTCTTCACGGCTTTTATATGATAACATATCGCAAAGTTCGTATGTGGCGGATAGTACAGTGGTAGTGGTGTTGGTTATCACGATCATGGTATTGGTTGGATTCCACCCAGACCAACCAAGCATGTTATCTCTCTGGGATCGGCAAATTAGTACCGGACTTGTCCGAGAAAAAATCACGCTCTGTAATCCGAATGAGAACGCCCGAGCCCAGCTATCTTAGGACCCCAGGGAGAATCGACTCAACGAGCATTCTACGTCATTCAAGATGAAATGAAAATCTTCAAGCGGCAGCTGAAGCCACACGTAAAAATTAGGAGGCCTTCGTGGATAATGGATGCGAGAAAGCAAATCGAATGTGAGAAGTGTTGAGATCCGCACAGTAGACGTGAAGATGGGTCATATAAAATAAAAAAAAAGTTCAGAGTTTATTAGAAACTCAGTAAGTTTTATCCAAGTGTTCTTCAGCAATCCCAAGCTATTTTCTGATTAGGCAGGCTCGACGGAAGCTTCTGGTGGTGAGGAATCTTCTGAAAGCGTTTCCACCGTTTGTGTGGTCACTCTACCTTTGTCAACATGTAGTTTTAAAGGTGCTTAAAGAACAAGATGTGAGTTCACAAGAAGATAGCTAAATGTGTCGGATACAAAAGCGTTTGGTCACAACTCTTTGAATTTTACAGTGTACATTAGTGACTCTTGGACCAAGAGTGGTCGTTTTCGATTGCTCACTGGCTACTGCAGACGATACATATCTGGTTTTATTTTCCTGATCTCCGACTAAAATTGAAGAATTTTTAGTGGCCAATGTTCCTTTTGCCACGTGCTAAACGCTCATCGTAAATATGCAAGTTTTGCTGCAGAAAGTGTTTCGATATTCCTCTGTCCAAAGGAACGTCGTCGATAACCATGCAGCATCCTCCTCTCGTTGCTTATCGCAACACGACAAAGAACGCATCTACTAAGGTTTCCGTAAATGCATGTCGATTTTTTCGAGCTTCTTCTTGGAATGGGTTGTTATGCTCCTTCGTTTTAAATATGTGTAGTTCAGGCCGTTGTGCATGACACTGCGTTTCAATCTTCTTAAAATGGCGATTATTAATGACATCGACTCTTATCTTTTTATCGGGAATTTTAAACTGTCACTTTATCGTAATTTTTAACGATTTTATTGAAGTAGTTTATGTCCTAATAGAACGCAAGAAACAAAGTCAATGTGAAATTTTTTTTTATAAGTTCTGCTTTTTAAATTGCTATATGGTATGAAGACAGTGACCTGAAATCTTATTTCGGAACTACGTTACAAAGATTCCAAAGCTGTGTTACATAGCTTGGAAAGATGATCAACAAATTCCGGGCCTCATAGATTTTCATGTGCAAAGATTGTTATAATGTATTTTTTATTGCCAACACGGAACACTGTCATTAAGAATGACTAATTCACCTGTATCACCTGTAGTCCCGTTGATCGTCAAGTGACCCGAGCGGACGCCAGTAAATCTTCTATTTTTCCCTGTCGCGTGCAAGAGTAGCCCAATGGGTTTTTCTCGCTCTAGGGACTCATCGAGCATCATATTTAGCATCAACATCATAACATCATTTTTGATCCGAAACCAATCCGTTCTTCATGAACATCGTTTTTGTGAGATTTGTGATATTCACCATCCTATTAAAATTCATCAGCTCGGTATGGTTCTGAAATACATGTCCTTTTTGTATGTCCTTTACAAGAGTTCGAGAAATGCTTTCTATTCTAGAAGACGTAGTCGGTTTCAACACCTAGTATAAAGATATCATAGCGTAAAATTTTAATGAGTATGTTCTAGTTTTTTCTGGCGGAAGTTCAACGAATTACGAGCTTGGTTTCGTCAGTGTTTGCATCGGCTAGCACTCACCATCCGGTAACATTTACGCTTTTTTTTCAAAATTAGTATTGTTATAAGACGATTGTTGAACGACAGAGGAAGAAACAACGAATAGTAATGACCATTTCTGAACGGAAACATTGAATTGCTTCAATTTGGTTCCACTCTTTTTTAAATGAAATTAGAATCATTAGAATCTATGCGTTTTAGCCAAAAAGATACATGTTCGCCTATTCCAAATGCTTAAAATTCTGAACACATGACGCTACCAACTCTTGGCAGGCATTGTCTGTATAGGTGTTATTGTTGGAGCTTTTATCAGTTACCAATTTTTAAAAAGCGTTAAAAGTACTGGTTGGTTAAAGAATCTTCACAAACTGCGGTGTAAGTCGTCGGTTGTCCTCGGCGGTCACGAAGGGACTAAACGAACGGTCGCTTTTCTCGTTTAAATTAAGCTCAGAGCGAACTTCAAAACTACGAACCTCTAATGGAAGCAGTGTGGCATCCATTTGTCGAGCTTTCCCTTTTCTTCAGTGTGTTATAAATAGCGAAAGATTGTTCTGGTTTATTGATAAGCTTACACGAGGTTGTTACAATTCTTTTCTTCACGGATAATCTTTTGGCGGTTTCGCCTTTTTCAAAGTCACGGTAATTGCAGCCGAGTGTATAGTAGTTGCTTCTTCTTGAGATATGGATATTTATCGTCGTTACATCGAGTCAAGTCGGTGGAGTGAGCTCTACACTGATTTGCGACAACCTCGTGTAAGCTTACCCATATATGAGAACATTGATTGTTCATGCCAGACCTCAGTGAAAGTCGGAATTGTTAGCGAAAGATTATTGAATGGTGAACATTGGGTTATACTACAGCTTTTTGAGTAGTTTTTGAACGTCCTCTTTAAACTTAACCGTTTCATTTGCTGCCTACTCTTTTTAATGGCGCATTACGCCCCGGAAAGGACAATAGCACGTTCGTTCTTCACCGCAGACACCTGCGGTACGGAGTTTTGCAAATATCTCAGCATCATTGAAGTCATCTTTAGTTATCGCTCTTAACTGCTGATAAGCACGCTTCACCGTCTTGATCGCCATGGCTGACATATTCGCTGCAAAAGTTTTTGCACCATTTGAGATCTGGGAATTCGTAAAAGCTTACCTGGTTTGTGCTTTGATGACGTTTTCTGCTGTCGTATATTTATACTCGAACTCCTGAAACGAAACTGATATCTTCTTTTGAGAGCATCATTTCACGCAGCCGAAAATCGTTGTGATTACTGGAAAAGTAATTTCAAACAGGTATTTAAGCATGAAACATCCTTTGAAGTAAGACACAACAACAATGCAAGCAATGAAAATTTATTACTGAGTCTGTTTGCAAACTTCATAACGACAAACTCGGACGTTGCTTTTATTACGACTTGGTATTTTTGTGGTGAACGTTATTCTTCTAGATTGTGCTTAGTTGTTAGCATTCCGAGCATTTTGGATGTAGAAATGAGAATAGTTGAATGCATCAAGTTACCATATTTGTAGAACAAGTTTGTTTCCGAAAATGTTTTTCTTTTTTGGTGTGCTGTCTGAGCCAACGAGATCTTCAACTTAAGCTTTTTACCCTATCTAATTCCAGTCTTTGAAGTACCTTACTGAATACGTACAGAAGTTTTTCTGTCTAAAATATATTCCTTTCTACCCAGGTCTTTTTAAATTCATGAATAGCTGGAAGTGATTCATCTCATTAACTTTAACCAGACATGTACCGGTTATTGGTGAATTCTTTTGATTAAAACATAAACATAAAACTATTAGGATCTACAGATCTATCTCAACAAGGTGCAGGTTTACCTTCTCAACTACAATAAAACGGTAATTTTTTGGAGACTACGGGAAGCGAAGTGGTTGAACACAAAGAATGTCATATTTATGTACAAGCTGACGTTTCGGCGGATTTCGCCTTCCTCAGGGCCTGGAAAGGTCAAGTTGACAGCAACAGGCGAAATCCGCCGAAACGTCAGCTTGTACGTAAATAAAGAAATAAAATAGCACCTCATGTTTGGTGAACAGAAGTAGAAAGAATTATTCAATCAATTCCGAGGTTAATAGAAAGTTGGACTTGGGAGTTACTACAAAGAATGTCGTCAAATTTTCAGAAATAAAATGCCCTTCGAGCGACAGCGATGAGTCCGTCATGAAGTCCGTTAACCCGTTTTTTTCATCACCATTCTTGTTAAAAATTCGATATCTTTTGAAAAATCATCATCATTCAATGGCGTTTTAAACTTTGGTGAGGAGGGTTCAATTATTCCTGATTTCGTCTTTCGTGAGTTATTCCTTGAAAATTCAAGCTAAAATGTTTTCTTTCTAAAAGAAAAGGGTAACGACAAGCTGTTGCTTGTTGCAACGGAAGAGCAAGGTGGCGAGAAAATTGAGGTTCTAGTTTACGGCTCATCAAAATTTGATGGATTTCAGGGATTCTATACTATGGCCGATTTGTGTCCTCGTCGTTTACATCGGTCGAGAGTTATGTATGTTGATATATCGACTGCTATTACAGGTATCTTTTAAAGTTTTACAAAATTCTGATCCAGATTTAATGTGAAGAATTACATACACGTTTTATCGATCATGAAACAATATTGCACAACACCATCCTATATTTCTGAGAGAATGGATGAGCAGAAAACTCTAAGGCATAGAATTTTTTGTTACCCGTATCACCTGTCCCTCGATTACTCGTTGAGCGACTAGTGTGGGCGCAAACAGATTTCAGTCATTGTCTATATTATTATTTATTACATTATATATATTTGTTTTTGGACTTCACGTATCCTACCGCCTGCTTGGTTTTCGGCATCTTGGCTTGTATTTCAACATCTCTGCTTTTGGTCGTCAACATAGATTGGAATACCGGATTGTCTCTCGCGTGATTCGGAACGTTACTAGCTTTACCTGGATAAGGCGTGCGATAACACTGAGTAGGATATTATCCTCCTTGAGTTCCAACTAGGTTTCCAATATATGCATCAAATCAAGAAAAATACTAGAATCAAAAAGTTGGAAGCTGACCCAGTTGTTCTTTATCCTCTTCGTCTCGTAAGTACTCTTCTGAGATTCACCAGTCTCTAGATGCTTCCTGTTTAGCTCTAGAAACAAGTTATTCATCATGTTTATTTGGCGAACCAGATACTTCTAACTGGAAAATTAGGAAATACGTTTTGCCCTGAGCGTAAGTGAGGCATCAGAAACGGGCTCGCTCCTCATGAACATCATTTTCTAGAAGTGCAATCGAAAATCAGTCGCTTCGCAAACGCTGTGGAAATCGGTCAACATTCGTTCCCCCTTCGTATTGCTTGATATTACATTATAATAATGATGTCGTCATCGTATAGCTGGTACTGGTCATTCACTTTTACTGTGATGTTGCCTCATGCCAATTTTCGCAAACGAATTCCGTATATCCAAAAATAAACGTATAAACTTCGATTGGTTTGAAGTATGCATTTATATAATACTAAATATAATGCGTTCACTGAGTTTCAAAGATTGACTTTTTCTGTTTAGCCAGTTCTTTACTACTTCTATCAACGATATAAAATCATCGAAACCGCGTTGCTGATTTATTTTCTCGGACCGGTTTGTGATACCATCGTTAAACATATCCCAGAGAAGAGCCCATTCTGTGGTGAGTTCTGTAGTATTGTTTCTAATGAACTTTTTTCGCATAAGTTACTTTGTTATTAACTATTCATTTGTGATAAAGTCTTTAACAGAATTTGGTAATTGTCATGTAGATCGATTAGGTAGTTTCCACATGTCTCTTCTTCACAGATTTATATTCTTCATAATTGACCAAGATTCGACTATTCTTAGACCTAAGGCGGTATACTCAGTACACGTGAAAGAGTAAAAGAAAAATCGATATGGACAAAATCTTTTAGTGGTTAGAACTCTTTGGCGATTTATAATTACATTAATATTAGATGACAGTGATATCGAACTGGAAGGTATGTTGCCAGACGAGATCATCGATAAAGGCGAGAAAGTTAGCATCTACGGCAGCGAGAGCGAAGATTCGCTTAGCGACTTGCTACCGTCACATATGAATGGTACGTTGCTGTTTCATGCTGTCAATAGGTGTGCTCCCTTATAACATTCTTTATGAACGGTAGTCGAAGGATAATGTGTCATTCTGCCGTTCTTTGGACATTAGAAACAAAGCATGGTATGTTTAACGTTTTGTTTTCTGCCTTCTATAATTTCCATGGCAGATTACTAAGCGAAATACAACCACAACGTTGCTGAGATATTTGCAAAACTCTGGACCGCAGGTGTCTATGCTGGGGAACGAACGCGCTATTATCCTTTCCGGTGAGTAACGCGTTCACCACCACACCATGCGGGTCCTTCGTTTCGCCTGTCTCTCAGCTATTTCTATCGGTCCAGAGTTTTGCAAATATCTCAGCAACGTTGTGGTTGTATTTCGCTTAGTAACCTGCCATGAAAATTATAGAAGGCAGAAAACAAAACGTTAAACATTGTGATTTCAACTACAGCCATAGCTTAACTGGGTTCTATGCCGATTTGCGCTTCCCAGATCAACCCCGCTGACGGGTGATTGCTGTGGCAAAAAGATCGATAGAAATAGCTGAGAGACAGGCGAAACGAAGGACCCGCATGGTGTGGTGGTGAACGCGTTACTCCCCGGAAAGGATAATAGCGCGTTCGTTCCCCACCGTAGTCACCTGCGGTCTAGAGTTTTGCAAATATCTCAGCAAAGCATGGTATGTCTTCAGAATAGTTGTAATTGTTGTAAATCGGTTAGTATCGCAAAAAAAAAAGATTTTAGCTGCAAATACCGTGGTGGAATGGTGTATAGTTTTCAATGCGAAGAGAACTTTTACATTTCGTCACATGCTAAATTTTCTGATTCATTTTTATAAAGTTTATCTGATATTTCAGAGGAAAATGACTTTACATTTGGTCTTGCGTTCCCGACGATTCACGCTTCTGAATCCAGTGACGATGAGTTTGACCTTAAAGTACCGTCGAAGCAGGAGCCCAGCAAACGGAGGCGTCAGAAGAGTGATCAAGTAGACAATTGTGGGGTGCACGATCAAATCACGCCGAAATCAGCGCCAACATCAGAGAGTCGTCATTATGGTCCTCCTCAATCGTTCGATAATGAATTCGAGCTACTTCAGTAGTTTTTAGGTTGCAAACTCAAAATCTCATGTTGAAAGGTTTTGTTTTCAAATGGTCAGTTCAAGTTCACCTAGCAATTTTGCAGTCGTAATGCAAATTATTTGATAGCAACCAGCTTTAAGGAACCATCGCAGGTCTGAGCTCTCATCCTGTAATTTTAACGCTACTTATTAAAATATATGCATTGTTCGTGCTTTTCACTCTATTCATTGGTGTTCATTGATCTGTGGTTCCATCTATATTGATCAGAGGCTTCATATATTTCCCCATATTTTTATGTTAGCCAATTTTTCCGAACCATATGGTGGTTTGAAGTAAAGAGATGTGCAATATTTAGAGCGTTCGGAAGACGAGGACCAACACTTTCTACCGTTATTGAGTTTAACCTTTATCGTATTTTACTCTGGTGTGCGACCACATAGGTTTTCACAGCCCAGTGTAAAGAAACATAACGGGAAATTGGATGGTGTTAATTGGCAAAAACTAAGTTGCGATAGCACCTATTGCAGTTATATTATGCTCTCAACAAAGCCAAAAGTGTATATCTTTCTACTTCTGTTCAGCAAGCACGAGGTGCTATTTTATTTCTTTATTTACGCACAAGCTGACGTTTCGGCGGATTTCGCCTTCCTCAGAGCCGCTTTCTATGAGTCTTCCTCTGAGTATTCACAGTATTCACCGCACCAAATTCACATGGAAGCGTAATGTAAGCGTAACATGCGGTCGGTATTCACGCGACATACTCAGTGGAAGACTCATAGAAAGCGGCTCGGAGGAAGGCGAAATCCGCCGAAACGTCAGCTTGTGCGTAAATAAAGAAATAAAATAGCACCTCGTGTTTGCTGAACAGAAGTAGAAAGATATATTCAATCAATGCCGAGGTTAATAGAAAGTCGGACTTGGGAGTTACTCCAAAAGTGTATGTTCAAAATAGACTAATCAGAAATAAAAACATTTGTCTAGTAGCNCCAAATTCACATGGAAGCGTAATGTAAGCGTAACATGCGGTCGGTATTCACGCGACATACTCAGTGGAAGACTCATAGAAAGCGGCTCGGAGGAAGGCGAAATCCGCCGAAACGTCAGCTTGTGCGTAAATAAAGAAATAAAATAGCACCTCGTGTTTGCTGAACAGAAGTAGAAAGATATATTCAATCAATGCCGAGGTTAATAGAAAGTCGGACTTGGGAGTTACTCCAAAAGTGTATGTTCAAAATAGACTAATCAGAAATAAAAACATTTGTCTAGTAGCTGTTTATTTCCAGCGGTCTATGACGTTTGAGATGGCTACTTGTGCCGCGCAGTGGTGCTGGAAGGAGCGGCTCCCGCACAAAAGGTTGGAGAACGGTGGTACTGCTTGCTGCGTTCCTCACTCCCAGTGAAGGGGAAATGGTTTCGGATGTCGCGCATCGTGCAGAAAATGAGCGGCAATAGTGGTAATGTATGCTGCGTTTCTCCCTCCCAGTGAAGGGGAAATGGTTTCGGATGTCGCGCATCGTGCAGAAAATGAGCGGCAATAGTGGTAATGTATGCTGCGTTTCTCCCTCCCAGTATAGGGAAATGGATCTGGATGCTGCTGATCCCGAACTAAATGAGAGGAAATAATGGCACTGTGTGCTGCCGATGAACCGAGTCGATAGTCCACAGTTGTTCGTGTTATCGAGGTGGCGTCTGTGTCGCGCATCGAGCCAGATTTGCCTCAGTAGAGCGTCTCCCACGAACGAGCCATATTCACTCGGCGATGCCCTTTTATACAGGATGCTGGTTGTTGATAGCAGTGATTGTCGGGTGATAACAACTTATTTTCCGGACAATGCATCTTGTACAAGTTGGTATCATTATCAGCTAGCAAAGGACATAACAATATTTCAAAACCGACTTTTAAAGTAACGATGCATATTTATTAGTTATACCGAGGTTTGAGGAAAGTTGGTTTTGAAATAATGTATTCTCATTGCTAGCTGATAATGATACCGATTTCTGCGAGATGAGCTGTTTCGAAAAAACAAGTTGTTATCACCGTACAATCACTACTATCAACAGCCAGCATCCTGTACAAAAGGGTATTGCCGAATGCGCATGTCTCATCGCATGTCTCATTCGAGGGAGATGCTCCACTAATAAGGCCTATCGGGCTCTAAACGCGACGAAGACGCCACCTCGAGAACACGAACAACTGTGAATCATCGGCTCTGCAAAAGACGAAACCGTCGAAACGTTAGCCGAATAAAAATCATATATCAACCTCGTGTAAGCCTATCAAAGAAACACATATTGATTAGTCATACCGAAGTTAAAGGAAGGTCGGCTTTGAAATATTGTGTGCTGCGTTTCTGCTTCCCAGTGTAGAGTAGTTCTGGATACCACGGATCACGCAATGCCGCGGATCTCGCGCCAAATGAACTGAAAAGATGGTGCTGTGCGCTGCGTTTCCTGCACCAAACGTGGTGCAGTGGTTCTGCGCCCAGCAGATATAGCACTACTCGAGCCCGTGTTGGGTAGTGATACCGAGTGATGTGATTTTCGCTACATAGAAAGCAAGTGCTGGACGCAAGGGATTCCGCACCAATGTGTGGCAGCAATGGCACTGCGTGCTGCGCTTCCAGAGTAAGGAAATGGTTCTGGACGCCGCGCATGCTACACCAAATGGTCGGCAGCAATGGTACTGCATCTTTCTCATTGCAAGTACAGGACAATGCTGCTGGGCACGGAGCCCTCACCAATATATGGCAAAAAAATGAGTTAGTAGGAGCATCCACGTCGTTATGGTGGTGGTAGTTGTGGCACTGCGCTCCTTACCAAAAAGTAACCAACCTCATAAAATTTTTCCGTTGTAGAAATAATTTGTACCAGGGTTGTTCCATTGAGGAAGATAAGATGTTGCCATTCCGGCGTGTAAGGTGTTGTTTTATTCGGTGAATAATGACCCAGACCTTGCAGAACAAGTGTTGAGCCGGTGCTCAGGCGACATAGAACTGAGGAAAAACCTGCACTAAAGCTTAATTGCAGTGAGTTCGAGTAGAAATCTAGCTTAAGCTTCTTATTTTATTGGTCTTCTTTAAAGGATTTGTTAAGTTTTCAGCATTTTCCGCTGGGTGATATCTTGGGCAATTGTAGATAGATTTGCCTCGTCTGTATTAACTTTTTAAAAAGACAAGAAATTCTAGGCTTTGGATCGGTAATGAGTGGCCTTTTTTAGAAAAATTTCCGCCTAAGTATCATACTATTTACTCCTGTCTCCCTACTGTAGACCCCAGATCGACGTCAATTGATATCTATTTCACCACGACAAGAGGCGAACTATGTGGGGCAACCTGTGCCAAATATTAACATAATTCTCACACTCTGAAGTCCTTTATTCACTGATCAATAACCGTTTAGTACTTGAGAACCTCCAACTCCGTAGCTAGTATTAAACCACTCTCTGTTCTATAGCATCGAGAAAATTACATGTCAAATAATATATGTTAAGAAATCCATGGGCATGAGAAAGTGAGGAGCGCTGGATAAAGCTTTCATGAGGAAACGGCGTTCAGCGATAAATCCAATCAGTAGTGAAGACGAGTGAAATCAATTTGTGGTGCCTTGTACTCTTACTGTATCTACATTTTAGTCACATTGTCATATTATTAGCCGGCTTACCTGTGCGATCCATCATTATTAGACCTAATTTTCGCGCCGCGCTGCGTTATGCACTGAGTTCAATGCGTAAGTCAGCTTTGCCTCCTTGATCTTGAGAAAGGAAAATTAAATTGCATTCGTACCTTTAAACAGTACAATTATACTCTCGAACACGTTGTTGTCTCTTCGATTCGCAGAAGAAAAAATGAATAAGTGGATAAATAAAAAACAAGCAATCAGAAATCAAAACAAAATAAGGGATCGCCGTGAGACTCATGTGTTTTCCTACGGCAGAAATCTCATTGTAGCCTCCTTCTGTGTTGTGTTCCAACGAATGAGACGTCCTCTCAACCTCCTCACTAACGAAGATCTTTGTGGTTTAAAAAACTCAAAGAAACGGCTTTTTTTCACAAATTATAGAGCATACAAAATAGTTCATCTGAGATCGCAGGTGGCGCAACATCTAATGCGGGGACTCTCCTAATAGGAGAAAATGTGAAAAAACAAATAGTAAACAGCTGAATAGAACTTGTTGAAATCAGTGCATATTGTCCGGCCTGACCTATAAAGACGTACAATTCCTGCTGTTGCAAATATTTACAATAATTATTATAATTGTAATAATAGTAGCTGCAATAATAATTATAATTACATCAATAATTATTAAACTCCTAATAAAGACTTATTGTTTAGGTTTTATCCGTAGTAAATCTATCACTAAAATTAATAAACGCGGAAAAATGCATTAGTTATAAATTCATAGGTTTTTGCGTCGTTTTCTTGTTCAGCAATTGCGAAGTTTTTAAACAGCATACATTTACTTCCATAGAAAAGTGCAATACAACACAACAGCAGCCAAGTTTCGGCAGAATCGTCTTCTTCAGAACCTGGAGGGGTACACTAGTACGCAACTTACCAGGTCGAACGCTTCAACAGCACAAACAGAAAGATGAAAATCTGCATGATAATTACAAGAGGAGGTGGATATACGAACGAACACACGAACGCTTCAGTAACACATACAAAAAGACGAAAAACCCTATGGCAATTACATGTTCAACGGCTTCTTGGAAACCTCACCGCTTTTTTTGTGACTTCCAATGAAGATTAGAATAGCTGATTATAATCGCGTATGGTTGATGACTGCACTATCCCACATCAGAAATTGGTCCGAAGATACGGGGCCAGGTCGTGGGGACCAAGTAATGAAAACATCATAGTTCATTTCCTTTCTTCCCACTCTTCACACACGAAGAGAGCGCTTATAAGAAACACGTTTCGAACAGCCACCTCTGTGTGCGCAACCAGCGAACTAAAGAGTCGCGCGACTTGGCTCGGGATATAGCCATCTCCAATGGCTACGAAATAGTAGCCCCACGAG